TCGTCAAATCTGATCCTTAACTACTCCAGCTCCCACAACTGATGGAGCAAACCTGGTTTTCATGTTACCTCTTTACAGTCAATTCATATAGAAACCCCCTCTGAAGGTTGGAGAAATTTATCAGCTGCTGCTCTGGAGTTTACAGAGAGCTGGAGGTCATGAACAAGTGGCGGGATATAGCTTCTGCAAGAGAAACTGGCTAAATGAGTTTTAAATTTAAAAATCAATGTCTTAATTTCAGATACTTTGTTCTGCCAGCATGGTGAACTCCAGCCATGCTTTAATAGTTTAAATGGCACAGTATTGATAATGCCTGGCAGTTCCAGAGTTGCAGTGGGCTCTTCAGCTTACCCAAAACACTGCTGGAAGGCAGCTGGCTCTGAGGGGGGGGCACCAGCATCCTAGAAAGAAATCAGCAGGGAAGGAGACAACAGGGAAGGGATGCAGAAGATAGGACTGACTGATGTGCTGCTGGGCCATTCAGTGTGTACAGAGCAGATGCTCTTGCATTTATGCCCTTTCTCCTGAAGGAGCTGCCTAACACTAAACTAAATGAGATCTGTTCCTCTGTTTAAGAGTGGTCTGCTGTGTATTGGCTTGATGGAGGATCAGGGCTAAGGTGGGGAGAGATCGTCCTCTTTCCAAAGAGACTGGGCTCAGGGAGCTCCTGAAAACATCTCCCTCATGGAATCCATCTTGCCACCTAATGTATGAAAAGGGAAGCAAGTGGCACGTGTTGGGAAAGGGTGATTCATTATCATTATTTCCTGGCATATTGATTCTCTGCTTCGACAGGGAAGCTCTGTCACGGCGTCAGCCGGCGGTGACGGATGGCCCTGCCACAAACGTGTCGGCAGCGCCGCGTGGCACCGGCTCAGACTAATGGCTGGGGGGCAGGGGAGCAGCCAGGCGTGGGGTGGCTGCACTCCACTGCCTCTCTGGGTCCCTGGAAGGGACAGCAGGCAAGTATGATGATGTTTTCTCCGGGCTTTGCTCGTGGAAGGATGAATGAGAGCAGGGACAGAGTTGGAGAAGACGTGACCATCTCACAGCTATAGTGTCTTCCAGGGATGCAAGGGAGGGTTAAGCCAGAAGCGCATTCTGAGCATCAGTTCTTCCAGGAACCTACCAGGATGGGGGGAAAACAAATGTGTTTTAGCCTTGGACTTATTGTTTTCTTTTCTGCAATAGCCTCTCTGCAGAGAGATGAAGCTCATGTACAAACAGCATTTTTCATTTGCAAAGGTGTTTTCTCTGGCTCTGCAAAACGATCCTTAAACTTGGAATGGCTAAATTATCTTCACTGCTTCTCTGCAGCTCTGTGATGCTTCTATCAAAGTGCACAAAAATGTATTTCTTAATATCCCCTGACTCCCATATTTCCCAAAATGTACTTCTTTGGATGCCTGCTCATCCATATTCAGCCTTATTTCACCTGCAAGAACCAGAGCAGAACTGCCCTGTCTCTGAATCAACATCTCAGTCAAGCAGGAGAGGCAGCAGTAGCTGTCTAAAAGGTCTTCTTTATCTGAGAAGAGCCAGTGTTTGCTGCTCAAAGAGTGATGGGAACAAAGAGAGTCTGCAGGGGAGGCAGTCGGATGGTTGGGATGAGATTCATCACAACTCTTCCTTTATGGCGTAGCCCCTCTTTATTTTTTTCCACAGGCTCACTGCCATCCTACACCAAAAATGATGCTCGAACATCTAGAGGAGAGAAAATGAGACAAGAAGTGCCTCTGAGCCAAGCCTGTGGTTTGGGGGTTTGGAGTGGGTCTGACACTGTGGAAAAATCAGGACAAGCAAAATCCTCGATTGCTTTTTAAGCATTTATATAAAACAAGGTGTAAAGCAAAGTTTTCTTGTAAGCAACTAACAATCCACAATGGCATCACTGCCCACCTGGCTCTGGGTGCTGTTGGCCATGGTGTCTGAAGGTGTTTTATCCCTGGGACATCCTTTGTCCTGTGTGGAGAGGAACAGATCAAGAGGTTTTTTATGAACCCATGTCTGACTTCACCAGGATCCTTGTGGTGAAGGAACGCTGTTGGACAGTTGATGTGGCAGCTATAGGTGACACAAAGTAGTGTTGTGTGAGTGCCTTCAGCCTGCTGTCCCAGGTGAGTGGGAGCTTTTTGTGTGCCTGAGGATCCTGTGCTGCCTCTTTTCTGCTCAAAGCTGCCTGTCAGTCAGTCTGTCATCTTCTTTTCATCTTGACTTATCATCCAAACCATATCTAGGTTTCAGAGTGTCGGTTTTGGGCTTGCCTCCTCCCAGGGACAGAGAGATAAATCTGACATGCAAATGTTTTAGCTCTCCGGTTCTAGAATTGAGAAACTCTTCTGCTGCAGGGAGGGAGAGAAACCAACCATCGGGGCAGGGCTGCTGTTGTCCTCTAGGGCTGGAATTGCAGGGGAGGTTTCCAGTGTACCCAGCACCATTTCTCTGAAGGATCTTGCATCTGCAGAAACACCAGTGCTCAGGCAAGGGGAGCAGAGCTTGCCTTGCTGGAAACACTAGTTTAGATCTTAGTATTGGATCATCACTCCTTGTAATTTTAGTAAGTTTAATTTCTGGAATGAGTATTTAAGAAAAAACAAAGGTATTAAATTCTGGTTGCTTAAGCCAAAGACTTCTATCTATCGTTTAGGGAATGCACAAGAATTCTGTTCCTTCAGTGCTCCCTGCCAGAAAAGCACATGTCAGGGCAGAGGAGATGGGAGGTGCTCCAAGGATGAGGTGCCCACCTGGAAGTTGCCCTGAACTGGTCCTGTTGGCACTGGTGCAGAAAGTGGGACTTTGAGCCAATGGCGAGAGTAGGTCACTCATCATTCTGCTGAGCAGAGCACGAGGAGATTCACTGCTTGGTGTGCAGGGGAAGAGGTGCAAGGCTTCTGAGACTCACCTAATCCAGATACAGGACCAGCTCAGCACTGGGCCCCAGAGCTCAACCACCTCTCCCAGGCAAGACAGAAAGGAACAGTCTCGGCACATATCCAGAGCTGCCCAGCCTGCTTTGTCTTATTGCTCAGGGCATCTTCTCCTCTTCCTTGTAGGCTGTGCAGCCCTGGGGAGCGCAGCCACGTCACATCACCCGGAACACAGCTCTTTCTGGCTTTCTTGCTGAGCAGATATGGCTGGCAGGCATCTCCCCTCCGGGACATGTGGGGGAGGCACAAAAACTGTACCTGTGTTCGCAGTGCCCCTCTCTCACTGGCTTGAGTGAAGGCAAGGGGAATTGCATACCCCCAGAGCAATGAGCTGTTGCCTTCCACAGCCCTCTCTGATTGCTCTCGAGGGAGTCAGTAGAGCCCAGCTCTCCCAAAGCAGCCGGGCCCTCATGGTGCTGTGAAGGAATGGATCTGCTGCCATCAGTCCAGTGCTTGTGGAGGGCTGTTAGATGTGCCCTGTCACTGGGAAATGGTTGGGAGCGAGAGGTTTCCTGAGGCAGCATGAGGTGAAATGTGGCGTGCAGCTTGGAGCTGGTGTTTGCAGCAGGAGGAAGAGGATTACTGAGAGAGGAGAAACTGGGTTTCAAAGAGCGCTGGGGGTGTGCAGGAGCCGATGTTTAGTAAGGTTAATCTGGTCTGGCTGGGCACAGGAGAGGCAGCGTTCACTAACTGGTCTGTAACTGTCTTCCCTAGTCTCATCCCTGGCAGAGCTCCCCATCTCCAGCTGCCTGTGTCAGGGAGAGCAGGACTGGGCACGGAACAAGCCAGTGTCCTTGTCACCCCACAGCGAGCCTGCCTGGCTCCCAGCTTGGACTGTGCACTGCTCAGTTTAATTCCTCTGTATTTATATTTATGACATTCAAAGTTGTCTGTAATAGTAGTCTCAGCATTTTGTTGTTTTTTCATTACCTGATAATTCACGGCTCTGTTCCCTCACAGAGTGCACAGACAGCTCTGTGCAAGCCACAGTGGCCCATCCATTGCCAGCACCAGACTGTAAATCTCGCTGCTTGCTGCCCTGCCAGGCAGGTCCTTTCCCCCCTCTGTTGCTTGTTAACTCCAGCAGCTGATGATCATCTTTCCCAGGTTGATGCGATTTTTGTGACACCAGAATTAGTTTTCTGCTGGTTTTATGTGCCATGCTAGGAATGAGAGTCTCACATTAACTGCTGCTGGCTCAAATTTCCACCCTCAGAGTAAATAAGGGCATTAGCCCGATCTCCTCAATTCATTTTGTCCCTGGCACGTTGCTGTTTGTGATAAGCTTTGTAAAATGTTGTTAGGCTCTTCCCCAACATAAGTGAAGGGGAAAGATGAGCAGACTTTGTGCCTAGAAGTGATGAATTTTAATAGCAGTCTTTCAGTGCTGCTTTAGTCCCTTCCAGACTGGCTTCTCCACCCTGGGATTAGCTACAGACAGCCTGTTCCTCCTGCCCAGGAAATGGCTGGCTAGTTCTTGCTCTATCATGCTCGACAGATCACAGGGACAGGAAAACTTGGTAGTAACTGCTGCTCTTGTGCACATAGGGGAGGTCTTGGTAACATTAGTTCAGTTGCAACTGTGTAGAAATATTTCTGAGGTTGACTGGAGCCAGATTTAATCTTGTCTTTCTTTAGAGGTCAAAGCTCAAACATCTCTTAAGCCATTTTAAATGGTGATATTGAGCCAGTGTGTGTGGCAGAAGCATCCATACACTGAGAGCCTTGAGGGTGATGGGCTCCCCAGCCATGTTAACCTTATGCTTCCAAAGGGCTCAGGGCAGCCCTGTGCTCCTGGGGGTGGGAGGGCAAGTCCCTGTGGGAAGGAGACTGGAGGGAGATGCCTGAGCCCATTACCTTATCTGCTGACTGGCACTGACAGCAAATCACAATTAATTCCTGTACACCTTACCTTTGATGTACCACTCTCAGATAAGGTGGTACATCAAAGAGATAAAAGAGATGCTCTTGCATTGCAGGAGAGAGAGCTGGTGCCAAGACTGATGGTGTGATGGGAGGAGGGTCGTGGGGAATGCAGGCCTGGGCTTGACCTGAAACCTTCTCTCTCTCCAGCTTTCATCCTCATGATAATTCTGGCCCTCATCCGCATCAGCAGAGGCCAAGCTGAAGGTCACCCGTCCATGGCCCAGCTGTCGGGCATCCGCAATCTCTTTGGGGTGTGCGTCTACTCCTTCATGTGCCAGCACTCCCTGCCATCCCTCATCACACCCATCTCCAAGAAGAAGCATGTCAACAAGCTCGTGCTGCTCGATTACATCCTGATCCTGGCTTTCTACAGCCTCCTGTCCTTCACTGCCATTTACTGCTTCCGCAACGACACCCTCATGGACATGTACACGCTCAACTTCACCAACTGTGAGATCATCAACGTTGCCTTCATTCGGTACTTCCTGGGCCTCTTCCCCGTCTTCACCATCAGCACCAACTTCCCCATCATCGCAGTGACCCTGCGCAACAACTGGAAGACCCTTTTCCACAGAGAAGGGGGGACCTACCCGTGGGTGGTGGATAGGATTGTCTTTCCTGCCATCACATTGATTCCCCCAGTGCTGGTGGCTTTTTGCACCCACGATCTGGAGTCCCTGGTGGGGATCACAGGAGCCTATGCTGGGAATGGGATCCAGTATCTCATCCCGGCTTTCCTCGCATACTGCAGTCGGAAGGACACTCAGCTGGTCTTTGGCAGCGGGACAGTGAACAAGCACCTCTCCCCCTTCAGGCACACCTTCTGGATTGTGTTTGTGCTCATTTGGGGCTTTTCTTGCTTTGTGTTTGTGACTGCAAACATTGTCCTGAGCGAGTCAAAGCTCTGATGGGGGATAGCAGCACGTTCCCTCTGGGGCTCCAGAGACTCCAGCATTTCAGCTCCCCCTCTGGGACTGTGCAGTGGGGGAGAGGCAGTGTGAAGGGAAGTTTCCAGGCCACTGGCTTGGTGACACGGATCAGACCTGGACACAGACTTTCTTCGCTCCATTTTGGGTGTGGATGGAGTGGATTCAGCCTTGTCACAGTTGTGGTTCTCAGACAAAGCCCTGGGGCTGAGCCCTTGGCAGCCTGCACCAGTGTCCAGCCATTTCTGCCTTCGGCTCTGTCGGAGCAGCACGTTCCCTGTCCCTCAGTGGCTCTCTGAGTGCTGCAGGTCTCAGCACACAGAAGAGCAGACAGCCTCGGCTGCTCACTGCACTGATCGGCTAAATGTCCCTTCTCCCAAAGGCAGGGATGTGCTGTGCAGAATCCAGCAGGAGTTTGGGAGAACTGAGTCTCCTTTCTGCTGAGACTCCTTCAAACCAACCTCCTGTGCCACCTGAAGGAAGAAATTAGAGTGGGAATAGACCTAATTCAGAAGGACGTAATTTTTTGCAGTTACATTTTCATTTTCTAGAGTCATTAATTTGTTCGTGCACCATGGATTGCCTGGGATCTGTAGCTTAGAGCTGGATTTCTCCAGCCTGGGAGTTTACATTAACACTTCCATCCTGTTTTCTTGTGCTGTGGCAGCCCAGTTGCTCAGAGCAATACCCCTCTGCATGCAGGGATACAGCTCTTCCCCCTGGAAAGGCAATCAGCCTTGCGTCCCTCGGCAACAACAGACGGCTTGGAGGTTTCTGCTGCCAGAGCCCTTGTCCCTTTCTCCCCTTTGCACGGGGCTGCTACAAGCAGCCAGGCCCTGAGTCCAGCGGTCGGGATCGGGGATGGGCTGGGGAGGTGCTAATTACCCAGTCCTGACACGCGAGAGGCCCGCAGAGCTCCGGCTGTGCACAGTGATGCGTTCCCAGCTCCCCGTGCTGGGTAATTAGCCTTGAAACAAGGTGGGTGTTAACTCAGGGGAATGTGCTGGTGCCAGGAGGAAGCGGCCGTGTCCTGGCTCAATCCTGCCTGCAGCAGCACAGCTCCCAAAACGGGGCAGGAAAACCTGAAACCCTGCTGGAACTGGGCTTGAATCCCCCCTCTTCTCCTTCTGCACAGGGTTAAGGTGGGCTTTGGGCTGCTTCTGCTCTGCTTCTCTGAGAATGGGGCTGCTCTTACCTTAGGCAGCTCTAGGTGAGCCTCTGCTTTTAAGGCAATTTTGGTCACTGTAACACCACACAGTGACAAACAACACCAAGACCTATGCTCTGAGGCCCTTGGGCACAGATCAAATGGGGTTTCCTGACAAAAGGAAGAACATTAAAAGTCTTCACCTGAAATATTTTAACCCCTTGTTATCTAAGCAGGTTCAAAGCCAGGTGCATGTCAGATCCTCCTGCCCTCTGCACTTGCTGCAGTATTAAATGTCACCACTCACTAAAGCAAGCTTTGAACTGCAGCTCTTTTTAATCAAGCTCTGTTTTCAAGTAGGACTTTCTGGTTTCCATATGACCTGAAGTGCTCCTCCTGGGGGAATATGCAAGTACCTGGAGCTGTATAAAACCACTTTATGGCTTTTAAAGCAAAACCCTGCACCTCTCGAGCCTGAGCACTGCCACTGTGTCCTTGTGGAGCTGCCTGGAGAGGATCCGGGGGGACTGTTTGTCTTGTCGGCAGCTTGATCCTAAACAGACTTTGGCAGCCCTTGCTAGTGAGTTTAAACATCCCCAAGAGCTCCTGCAAAGCTGATGTGGCATCTTCAGTACCAAATTAAGAAGGTATTTTACAGGTAGCTGGTGCTGGTGTCTCATTTAGGAAGCAGTAGGTTGGAGGGCAGATTCATGGGGCAGCTGAGCTGGGAGCCACCTGCAAGGCAGCTGAGAGCTGGGCAGAGCTGGAGGGAGGAATTTAATGCTGATGAAATGAGCCTTTGGAAGCTGGAGAGGCTGAGGGGGCTGTTCCTCTGCACGAGTGTGCAGGTGTGGGTTCATGGAAGGGACTGAGAGCTCTCTCTGCCCTGGGCTGCCCGTGCTTTGCAAAGCTCAGCCCCAGCCCTCCACATGCCCATTTCAGCCTCTTGCCTTCACATTTCATTGCAGCCAGAGAATGGGGCTGTTCTCCGTTATTCCATCTCCTCTCGCCCTCCCTTCCTCTCTCAGGGCTGCCCTGCTGGCCCTGCCTGGGATAGGGGAGGAAGAGCACCCAGCCTGACACCCCCTCCCCTTTCCTGCCACCTCTTACATTTACAGATGTGCCTTCTCTTCCCTGGCCCATATGTCCCCCTCGACAGTGACTTCTGAGGGGCTGTACCTCCAGGAGCTGCTTGGATCCAGGTTTTGGATGCACTGGCACACTGAGGGCTCACACCCTGGCCCCAGCCTTTGCCGTGGTACCTTACTGGGAAGGACTCTGCTCCCCAAAGGAGCATGAGTGCTTCTCAAATAAATAACCACGAATTCCCAGACACCCATCGTCCTTGCACAGCAGCAAAACAAATATATCCGAGAAATTGGGGTGGTTAACGGAAAGAAGCTCTACAGCAGAGAACATTTTTCATATAAAACATGACATAGCAATGCCTTAAAAATTACTGGAGAAAGTGGGAAGGGGATGGCTCAGTGCAGCCAGCGCTGGCTGGAGGGATGCTGTGTGACCCCTGGGTGCGGGGCATGAGCTCTCTCCTCTCACCCATCGCGAATTGAGTCTATTTTTATTTGGCCATTATCAGCACTAACAATTCATTATTACAGATTCACACGTGATGCTTGTCCTGACTATAATTAGTTTTCAAAAAAAAAAAAGGGATTAAAACCAATAAAATGCACATTATACATCTGGTTTAGTCTGACTTCTTTTTCCATCCCCTTCCTCCTCGTGTGCAGGCACGGAGTAGCTATTCCTGGCGGGGACGGCCGTGACGGATGGGGCTGCGGGCCAAGGAGAAATGGCAAGCCGAGAGGCTAATGGAGACCCTCACCTCTTCCTCTCTATTAGGCTCCTGCAACTCTGGGTGGTAGCTGCAAACTCAATTAAAACATCTGTACTTTCCCCTTCTCAATTACGGCTCCTTACACTTAAAACCAAACAAATTGAATTGCTCCGCCGCCTCGGGCTGCAAAGGCAGTTTCTGCCAACGAATTTATTATCACCATAAAGCGCAGCTTGATTTATGTTAAAATATTAAAACAGATCTTTATGATGGAAATAAACACTTTCTGCTGTGATTCTCTCGAAGGACCTCACAAGCGGCAGCGGATTTTGGGGCTTGGGCCATAAATCTGAGGCCAAACTGGCATCGGGGATGGATTCAGTCTATTGCAGCACTTGGAAGAGCAATGGACAGGGAAAGAAGTAGAAAAACTTCCAGCCTGAGAGGCAGGTTTAGACAAGGTTTAGGCAAGGCTTGACCATCACCAAGGAGCCACGTGTCCCTGAGGGGATTCAGCTGTTTGAAGGTTCGGGGACAAAGTGCTCACCATGTTATCCCTTGGATGGATTTGGGCAGCAGGCCCTGATCCCGGGGGCTGTTGATGGTCTGGGGAAGGGCACCTGCTGCAGGTGCTTGGCCAGGGAAGATTTCATGCCTTGGCTTTGCCCTGGCAGGAGTCAGGAACCAGGAGGTGGCTGCTCCTGCTGCTCCCTCAGGCATCCGTGAACACAGACAAGGCAGTGCCCTGCTGTCCCTGTGCTGGCACCTGCACTTTCCTGGCCTTGAATCTGTTCTGGTTTGTGATTTAACCGGCTCCCCCTGCCCTGACTGTCTCCCCATAGCAGCACCAGCACATCCTTGCCATTGGAACCCCTTCCTGGTGGCTGACCTGTGCTGGCCTGCCTTGTTCCCCCTCAGGGAACTCCTCAGCGGGATGGGTCTCACGATGCAAAGCAATGGGGGCAGTGAAAGTAATACCTGCCATGGGGATTCAGAGCTGACAGAGGTGAGGGGTGGGTTTGAGGAACACTGCCTGCCCCCTCAGTGGGGCTGAGCCCCAGAGGTGAGTGGCCAGCAGTGATCCAGCCATATTTCTCTCTGCAAGACAGGCCACAGTGTCCCGGGGCGTCCCAGGTGCCAGAGCCGGCTGAATTAAAAAGTGATTGATTAGACTATTTCACCAAAAAGAAATAATATCCCTCAGCGGCTGTTAAGCACTAAACTACCCAACCCCTCTTTGGAAAGCCCAGCCAGAAGGTGCTTCCAGGCTGCTGCTTCCCTGCAGGTTTGTCCCTGGTGCACCCAGAGGCAAGGGGATGCTGCAGGAGCAGTGCAGGCCCTCCTTGGTCCTGGAGGGTCCCACCTGCTCCGGGCTGCTTACACCCCAATCACCTCCTCTTCCAGCAGTGCCCAGGTTAGTGCCTGGCACCAGGAATGGGAGAAAACCTGTGCTTTTCCATCCCAATTACCATGTAAAGATGATTATGCAAGTGCCACCATGGTGGCAGGGGACCTGGGCATGCACATGAGGCACCCAGGACAGCTTTGGCCCTACACTGGATGCTGACACCCAACCCCAGGGCCACCTCCCCTGGGAGCACCCCCAGCACCCCGTTTGCCCTGTCTCTCCCTGTCCTCAGCCTCCTGCAGCAAAATCCTTCAATAAAACATGAAGCAGATCCATTTGGCCTCTGCTGAGTCACCAGGGACATCATTAATTAATTTAAAATGTGGGTTGGGGATTTTTGATATTTCCTTTTTGATTTTCCCTTTTCTGCTCCCTCTTGCTCTCACATCCCCAATGCCAGCTCAAGTTTGGTTGCAGCTGTGTGTGCTGGTTTCCTTGGGCCAGAAAGCCACGATTTGGGGGAAGTTCCCAAGGCCACATTGGAGCCTCCTGGGGACCAGCCTGTCACTCCCAGGGCCATCTGGGGCACATATGGGGAGAGCTGCTTGGGGCAAATGGGTGCCATCTCCTGGGGCAGCCTGGATGGATCCCCTCGCTGTCAACTGGGTTTATTTATTTATGGCCTTTATTTATACACCAGCACCTCCCTCCCTCACCAGGAGGCTTGGAGGGGCTGCCAAAGCAATTAAGAGACAATTGCGATGATAAATAAGTAAAGGGAATTAAAGCTCCGGCACCAGTGTGTGATGGCAGCCAGGCTGGGGGGATGGGGGACTGGCTGGATTTAACCCCAGACAGATGGGTGGATGGATTGATGGACAGATGGATGGACAGACAGACATTGCCAATGCTTTTGAGCCTGAAATACATGTGGCCAGGTCCCTCCTGACCTCCCTGGGGCTTTGCAGCCGTCCCTGGGGTAGGGCTGGTTGTCCCCGAGCAGTCCTTGCCATCATCCCACTGTTACCAGCCTCGGCTGCGTGCTGGCTGACAGCAACTCCAACAGCTGCTTTGAAATAGGAAAAAAAATTATGTAGCTTTAGAGCAGCTTCTTGGGGAGTTGTTCATGGAGGCAGGCGATGCCAAACTAGCTGGGAAGAGGGGCTGAGCGTTGGCATCTCCCTGGGACAGCCTGCCACGGGTGGCTTTGTCTAGTCCTGGCGCTGCTCTGGGATGGGGCTGGTACCGCCTGGCAAAGCCCTGGCTGCTGCCCGGGGCCCCGGAGGCTTCAGTTCCCACTTCCCGAAGACCCCCTCCCCTGCCCGGGGCTGCCTTTGAGTCACGGCCGCCTCTGTCCGCGCCCCAGCCCGGCAGGGAAAGGACTGTGTCAGACGTACATCAAGAGAAGAATTAAACACGACTCATCTATCACACCTGATTTATGGCTCCATCAGCCCTCGGAAAATGGAAGGAATTTTTCCCTTTCTCGTTCCCCTCAGCACCTTCCCGGCGCTGCTGTGCCCAGCAGGGCATCCCTACCAGGCTGCCGTTTGCAGCATCACTCGAACCCGTGGCCATCAGTGCCCAGCACCCCAAATCCCGAGCAGGGGGCAGGAACTCAGCCTCCAGTGCTCGGCTCCAGCCTCAGCGCAGTCTGACGGCTCCTAATTATCCCTCAGCGCAGTTTAATTAGTTGCCATTTTCCTTTGCCTTTCTGCCGCTGGTGGGATGAGCCTGTGCTGGGTCTCAGAGTAACGGGACACGGACGGAGAGAGGGTGCACAGGACCACGAATATCCCCACGATGCAAAGGGCAGCCCCGGGCTCAGCACCAGAGGATGGAAGAAGGGTCCCCAGCCAGCTGAAAATGTCTCTTTAATGACCTGAACATGGCGTTTCGAGTCCCTTTGAATGAAACGAAACGTGACGGCAAAACAGGCGGCAATGAGTTTGGCGTCCCCGATGCCAGCCCTGCCTGTGGGGAGAGCCCCAGCCAGCGTGTACCAGCCCCTGCCAGGCTCCTCCGACCCTCCCAAAGCGCACGGGACCCGCCGAGCCGCTTGGAGCATCCCACTGCCGACGGTGCAGGACCCCGGGAGAAAGGAGCCCGGCCGGGAGCCGCTGGCTGGCCCGTGGGGACACCCGGGCAAAGGGCAGGCAGAGGGGTGCGGGCACCCCCCTTGTCCCCCCCATCACACCTCCGACTCCAGGCTGGAGACCCGCCGCCAGGACCCGCCGGCGCAGGGACTCGCCAGCCCGCGGGCCACCAGCGGGTCCCTCCTCTCCGTGCCCACCGCCCGCAGCAAGGCCAGCTCCCCGCGCCTCCCGCAGTCTCTGCAGCCGCCGTCCCAGCGCGCGGACCCCCGGCCGCAGGGGTGCAGCCCGGGGTGCTCCCGGGGCGACGGGGACCCCCGCGAGAGGTGCCCCACGAAGAAGGGCAGGTTGGCGTAGGAGTTCATGCAGGCGTGGGGCGCGGCGGCTGTGGCGGCACGGGGGTTCTGCCGGCAAGCCTCCCGGTAGGACGGCAGCCTGGTCACGGGCGAGCGCGGTGCCAGCCGGCCGGCGGCCTGCGGGCAGCGGGGGCTGCAGCCGTAGCCGGGCTCGGCTTCGGGGAACAGGTCGGGCACGTCGGCGCGGGCGGGCGGGCGAGTGGCACCGCAGCGCCGCAGCCCCCCGGGACGCCGCTTCTCGCCCCGCTCCCCGGGAGCCCTGGCCGAGCTCGCCCACCGGCTCAGCTTCTCCCGCTCCGCCTCCAGCCGCGCCGCCTCGCCCCTGGCTCTGCAAGTCCTGGTGACTTTGGGGAAGGCTCCTCGAGAGCAGGATGGAGGCAGGCTGCTCACATCCCGCTTCTTCTCCGCTGCCGAGAGCAGCCGGGGCAGTGTCCCCGAGCCCCCGTGTCCCCCGTCCCCCTGGAGCAGGGGGTTGTTTTGCGGCCGGTCCCCCCGCCCCGACGGCCGCTTGTGCTCCCTGTAGATGTCCGGCGGTGGGAGGTCCCTGGGGGATGTGGGGGGCGGGAGGGGAGCCCCGATATGGTTCCCCACCAGCACCTGCTCCCCATAATCCCCCCCTGCGGAAGTCTTCACCAGGAGGTGGGGGAATCCCGTGAGGGTTTCATCCCCTGCACAGCCACCCCGAAACTTCACGGGGTGTAACAGGCGGGGGTGCTCGTTTGCCCCTCTCCAGTTCTCCTCCCCGTGCAGCCGGGAGTCCACGGGGATGGGCTGGGGCAGCGGCAGCCCCAGGGGAGCACCCTTGGGAGCGTAGGCTCTCCCCATCCTCTCGGTGGGGTGCGGGCCAGAGGAGGGGGCCCGGTGTGCGCCGGTGCTGTTCTGCACCACGAGCTGGGGTGTCCTCAGGGAGAAGGTGGTCTGGAGGCGCTCACTGTGGTTGCTCCAGTCCTCGATGGTGCGGGTGGCCTGCTCCAGGGAGCCGCCCACGCTGGCTGTCGTCACCATCTCCTTGGCCGCCTGCAGCATCTTCAGCACGTTGGCCTGGGCCGAGCTGGCCGTGACGTCAGGTGTGGGTGCCCGCCCAGGGCTCCCCATGGTCTGCACCCC